TGAAGCACATTGGGATGAGCCAGTCTCCCCACTTTTGGTGCAGCCCCAGCCAAAGTTTTCTTTAGCAGCTTTGGAAAGTCACACTTCTGATGGCCCAACTCCTGGCAGTAGAAACAGCAAGTAGTTTGAGGAATTGACGAAGTTCACTGTGGCTGTATCTCCAGCTTCTTAATGGCATCCCCCTCTGGGTTCCTCCACTGCTTCATCTCTTGTCCTTCTTTCTGCCCTCGTGGGCCAACAGTGACTTCTTGTGGGGCAGCCTGAAGGTTTCCCATTGTGCAGGGTGACCCAATTCCCACACCAACTCTGGCATCCCTTTGTCTGCTGATGCCATGTGCGAACTCCATTGCTCCCTGCTCCTTTTCTCTTCTACACCTACCATAATAGCCCCAACAACAAAGCAAACTGGTCTGAGTGCACCAAGAAGACCATCCCTAAAAAAGCCTCCACTGCCCTTGGGATAAATCATGTGTCAAAAACCAATCACTACCTCCATGTAATGGAAAGCCATCAGGGATTCCCCTTTACTCCAGCCAATTGAGCAAAATCCCACCCAGTATTTCCTTGGTCCTTCACTCCAGGACCAGTCACTGGATTCAACACACAGCAGCCTAAGCCTGGGGGACAAAAAGATAAAATATAAGGGTGGAGGATACTAGAACATAGACTCTAAAAGGGATAAAACCAAGGGAAAGTTTGACAGCAGCAACACTACAATTCACGGCCAACCAAAAAACCCCAACACCCAGGACTTTGTTGGTCCACCCAGACTAGCAAAGCTAACTCTATCCTTAGTCATATTCTAAAGTTCTACCTTCTGCAGGGTCAAGATGCACTGGGTTTTTCTGCATTCTTCAGCACAGTGAAGACAGCAGACTGGAACCTTCCAAACTGGAATGAATACCCTCTTTCCTCACAGGCCTTTATCCCACCCCTACAAGCTGGTCAGCTGACCCATGGGGTAATGGACCATCTCCCAATCCTTGGAGCCAACCATTAATTCCAGGTGCCGGTTGTTAACCAGTTATTGCTGTTATCTCTGGCATTCTTCAGGCCATAATTTTTGATAACTCCCAAAATACATCACAAAGGGAGGAGGATGCCTCCCTAGATCTTGGGCCAGATTCCTGCTGTGCTAGCACGAAGATTTACCACATTTAATTTGTTTCATAGTTTACCTTTCCCTTATTCCCTGGGGCCCACGGAGCCAGTTCACATTGCAACAATAATACAGAACAATTAATTGAAAGTGGACAAAATGAATCTGTCTTCCCTGATTGTGTTTTCACTTTCATCCAAACCATGTCAAAGAAAGAGGGAATATGCAGTTTTTCTGATCCAGAAAACCCCTTAGATTCTTGAAATATAGGGCCAAAGAAACAACACCATTACAAAAGAGTTGTGGTAAACTTTATTCATTCCTCAAATCAGTGGGAGAAAAGTCCATACTCATGCTATATTGCATCAACGGATGCCTTGTATGGCAGGGGGAGTGCTAATTGACCTCTTATCAGCTGATGTTATATCTGAGAAGTTGTTTATACCTTTACACTTACATTTTAATATACTGTTTATACCTTTATACTAGCAAAAGTTATATGAGAAATCAAACAATGCAAATTTAAACTAAGAAATTGTTACAACACAATTATTTAAAACAGCATTCAATAAAAGTCAGTAGAAGAGCCAGTGTGGTGCAGTGGTTAGAGTGCTGAACTGGGGATGTGGGAGATCCATGTTCTAGTTCTAGGCTTCAGTGAGCCTTGGGTGACTCTGGGCCAGTCATTAACTCTCAGCCCAACTTCTCACAGGACTGATCTTAAAATGAAGCCATGTAAGCTGACTTGATTTCCTCACAAGCAGAAAAGGGCAGGTATAAATGCAGTGCAAGAATAATAAGTGAGCCAGTGTGGTGTAGTGGTTAAGTGCGTGGTATGGGGACTCAGGAGATCTGGGCTCTAGTTCCTGCTCAGCCATGGAGTCAGTTGGGTGACTGTGGGCCAGTCACAGACACTCAGCCCAACCTACCTCAAAGGGTTGTTGTTGTGAGGATAAGATAAGAGCAGGAGGAGGAGCATGATGTAAGCTGCTTTGAGTTCTTAAAGAAAAGGCAGGATATAACTCAAAAAAGTAAATAAATACAATGTTAATAAATTAATTAATCTATAGCTGCATCCCTGTGGTTGGACCAAATTATACAAGTTGTGCATGTTTTCTTTGTTGATAAAATGCACCTGCAGAGCTGCAGCAGGTGAGTAGGGGTGGATAGGAACACTTCCTAACCCTATTCCCTGTTTTGTGTTTTATGCTACAATCATGTTCACAAGGAAATTCTGCTTTCTCCTCAGAGGTACAAGCTAGATGCTTTTATTTGTCCAACTATATTTTATCCACTGCAAGGAAAAGCAACAGCAGGAGTGCAGGTTTTAGCAGAAAAGCTGCTTAGGTGACAGTTTTTGGCCCTGCTAGGTCAGATTTCTCTAAGGTCTGCTTGGCCCAGCATTCTGTTTCCAACAAGGTCGAGGTAATCTGTGCTGCTGTAGGAATGGGCAAGTTGGGGCCCTCCAGGCATTTTGCTCTGCAATGCGCACCAGTTGTAGCTAGCATACTCAGTGACGAGAGATGATGGGAGTTGTAGTTCTGCAGGTGTTTTGGCCTACAAGTTGCCCATCCCTGCTGTAGAAGAATAGTTTTTTTTCTCAACAGTGGCACTATGCACTTTGAGCACTGCAGCCCTGCAAGGGTATTTTAATATCCTTGCAAGAAAGTAGGCTTTCATTCATATAGAAACAAAAAGAAAGAAATGCCCAGCGTCTCTTCTCTCTGGGTTGCTATCCTCCCTGGCATTGCCCCTCAGAAGCTGCCAGTATTTTTCCCCTTCCAACTGGATACATTTGATAGCTGTCAGATATAACCAAAGCACAAGTGACTTTAGCTAACGAAAAAGGACTGGTGATTCATTCAAGTGTGCCCTCATTTTGGTGGTGTTCCTAAGTTGCTACCAGTATAGTTTCCTACCAAAAAATAAAAATAAAAATTGGTAACCCTTTCTAAATTCTACTTTGAAAATGGAGCTTTACTTTTGACACCAGTCCTAGTAAAATACTTCTATAAATGGGGTGGCTTGGACTTTTGCCTCTTCCCACAGTGCTAGAATCTCAAGAACAAGTGCAAAAAGTAAAGGTATTCTTGACACATATTACCTCCTCTTGAAAAACCCACATGCTGCAAAGGGACTAAACACATTGCTACCTTCTTTTTGTGAACAAAGATCACCTTTTCTTTTGGTTGCATTTGGCAGCTGTCAGATGTAAACAAATAGGGGGAAAACCTTACCTTATTTCTGAGTGGGCAATTGCAGTGTGGTTACCTGCTGGAATTTGTCAGCAGCCCCACCTGCACATGGCACACCGAATGCTCCCTGTTTATGCACCTGCACAACCAATTCTGACTCATTCTGTTTCAATGTTTCTAAGTATAGATAAAAATTAAAATAATTGTTGCAAATATTTGGATTTTTAAATGGTTGACAACCACAGGCAGCCCCTCTCATATGCTGCTGAGTCATGCTTCATTCTTGCTGCAGCCAAAACAGAGATTGTGAAAGCTGGCTTTCTAGATGGCTTTTGCAATCTCCAGACAAAAAAAGTTTAAAGGCAAAAAATGCCAGTGCAGGTTAAAAAAGAAACCTTAATTGCCATTGTTGTTTGGGGGTGGGTATCCCAGCAGGGTGTCACGGGGAATCCTTCCTGCCTGGTTGTGACCAACTGAAAATTGCCCCTAGCCAGTGTGGCAAATAAGTTGGAAAAAAGCTTCTACTGCCACCAGCAGAGTCTCCCCCACACATCATGGCTCAACTGCACCAATTATCACACAGGCAGGGAAGGATTAGCCTGGATTAGCCTATTAGTCTTTCTAATAGAGATTAGAAATCTCTATTTGTTCTAAGCTTCCTACCTGTCTCTGAAGAAAATCACTATTATAAAGAAGGAATGCTTTCTCCAGTACCACTCCTGTATAAAGTGCTTTACCAAGTGAAGAGCGTACGTGCCTTGGGGCAGCCGCTTCTCCATTCACCACCAGCTGTGCCCGCTCGTGCCACTCGGCCAGCGGGGCACTCTCCCCAAGAAGGTTCACCCACCCAGCATTGCAGTAGCTGGTCCGACATGTTTTGCAGTACTACCACCCAATAATCGAGTCCACTCCCCCCGATTAGTACCTGCCCTCGTCCCCCTCGCTGTGCTTGTGCGTCCCATACTTGGGTGATGCAGCAGGAAGAACTGAGATTAACCATCGATGAGTGAGTAGCTGTTCCTCGGAGATGCGGCTGTGTTTCCGCCTGTTCTCCCACTCCATCTCACAGTCGCTGCAGAGGACTGGGCTAGTTCAGCTCAATCCCCACCGCTACATGCAAAGGGAAAGTGCAGGTGAGGGGGAGGATGAGGTAGCTACGCCTTAAGCGCGCAACCCTCTATGCCAATTTTCCCCACCCAGTCTGCTGCCCTCCAGACGTTTTGGGCTGCAGATTCCAGACTTAAGAACCGAAGAGGAGTTATACTGAATCAGACCGGGGATCCATCTTAGTCCTGCAGTCTACTAACATAGTTGCCCACCAGCTGCCTCTAGCAGGCCATTGAGTAGGACACGAGTGCAATAGCCCACCTCGCGTTTCCTGGCAGCTCGAGTACACAGAAGTGCAGGAGCAGCAGCCATTTGATGGCGAGGTTCTCCATGCACTCCTGACCACTAGTCATGCCGTCTAGGGCTGATGATGGACACTGAATCCCAGAAATCTCTCAGCCTTCACGCGGCACTACGGGGAGAGGAGGTGTAGCGAGCACAGCCGCCCGTTTTCTTGGTTTGCACTTCCCCACTCTCCCGCAGAAGCGGCAAAGACGCCTCTTACTGCTAGGCCAGCCTTGTGGCTTTAAGAGGGAGGATCTGGTGACAGCCGTAAGCCCGTCCCAGACGCTACCAAGTAGAAGCGGCGGAAGAGGCGTCCTGCAGCCAGCCCAGCTTCTCCAGCACACCCGCTAGCCGCCGCCGGAGCCCCCTCGCCCAGCCACCATGGTGAAGATCGTGACCGTCAAAACCAAAGCCTACTTCGACCAAAAGCCCGGCACCAGCGGCCTTCGCAAGCGGGTCAAGGTTTTCCAGGACAACGCCCACTATGCCGAGAATTTCATCCAGAGTATTATCTCCACCATCGACCCGGCGCAGAGGCAGGAGGCCACCTTGGTGGTTGGGGGAGATGGCCGCTTCTACATGAGGGAGGCTATCCAGCTGATCCTCCGCATCGCCGCCGCCAACGGGGTGAGTAGGCCGGCGTGACTGCGCGCGCGGGGAAGCTCCGTTTGTCTCTTCCCCTTTCGCACACTCCCAGCTGCTGTATGCGTGTTTGCAAACACGTTGTAGGAACTGCTCTGCGCCGTGCATTAACTCGTGGTGTGCCGCGTGCCCGTTGGACTGCATGAGCCTTCTGGCTCTCTTGCTTAGACAGGATCGAGCAGCACGAGCGTTTGAGGCGGTTGCAGGGAGCAGTTCTTTGCTTGAGGAAAGGGGGGCTCGGGGGGACAGCTTGCTTCCGAGAAAAAGCAGGGCCTAAGATTAGGAATCAAAGGCATGATTCATCCTTCTTGTCTGTATTTGAGCCTGCTCGTAGTCTGCGAACACCCCCAGGCTGGGAAGGACAAGGTTACTTCTCTGTTTTATGTGTGTTTCTGTTTTCCCTCTCATACATTTGTCCTCTTGCGCATACGATTGAATGGCGTCGAACTCAATAAACATACATACTCATTGGAGTTTGTATGTTTTGTATGTATGTAGAGAAGGATCTTGGAGTTTTAAGATCCTTCTCTAACTTGGGAGGAGAAATAAAACATATTGATTCCATAACCGGATTGTTTTTTTTTAAAAAACGAACCACCTCAAGTGCAAACCCTTATCTTGCATCTGTAGATCTGAGGAAGAAGCTACGTCGCCAAGAATAGGTATTTGGTTCTCTCCAACTTTGCCTTGCCTTCTCGAAGTTTACCATTCTTGGCACCTTTTAGGAAAATGCTTACTCAGTAGAGAATGCAAACACAGGTAACATTAGGGTGAGATGGGATTGAGGTACCACTTAGGTAGCTTGATTATTTTTACACACAGATTCATTGCCATTGGAAGGTGATGGTTCTCCTCTTGCTTACTGCAAAAGGCTCTGCAATCTCTGACATTTAAGTTAACCTTTCAGGCTATGGTTATAGCCTGAGATATGGTTTCTCTTGCTTTGCTGGAGGGATGTATGCACCTCCTACTGAGCTGGCCCAAAGGTTACTCTTATTTTCAGATTAAACAGGGCTTTTGAAAGTTTGAAACGTAGGCTATATCTCTTTCTCTCTCTTAGGAAGAACACCTTTTTACTGATATTTGCACATGCTTACACAAATAGAACTTTTTGCACAGATTTCGATTGTGGGAAATCTTGCAATTGTTTTGCCAATAAAAGCAGAGCAAACCTGATTTTTGCCTTCCCACCCTTGGTGCCAATTTCAGTGCTAGGCCTGTTTCCAGAATTGTAACAAATGGAGCTTCTCTGACAAGAATCACTGAACTCTTGTCAGCTAGGAACTAAAATAATGATTAACAGTAAATCAAATAAGTTGTCATGCAAGGGCATGATGATATTTTGCTGCTCTTTTAAGCAAAGTGTACAGAGTTTCTAAAACTTAAAAGTAAATTTGTGACTTTTCAGGGGAGGGGGATAAGGCTTGAGAGATATTATTATTATTATTATTATTATTATTATTATTATAACATTTCTATGCCGCCCCTTGCCGAAACCTCGGGGCGGCTTACAACATGATAAAATACATTGAAATACAATAGTACATAATAAATTACCATTAAATATAACAATACAAAAAATACATTGATTTACAAATACAAAATTAAAATTATCAGTATAAAATAAAAATATAGGAGGAGAAAGAGAAGGAAGAAGAAGTTGCCCAGGCCAGATCATATGTTTTAACAATTGAAATGATGTTTAAATAAAAAGGTCTTTACCTGGCGCCGAAAAACCAGTAACGACGGTGCCAGGCGGACCTCTTTGGGGAGTGAATTCCATAGGTTGGGCGCCACCGCAGAGAAAGCCCTCCTCCGGGTACTTACTCTCCTAATTTCTTTCATGGAGGGTTCTCGGAGAAGGGACTCTCCCGCAGATCTCAAAGGGCGGTCGGGCATATACGGACGTAAGCGCTCGTGCAGGTAGCCAGGACCCAAGCCGTTTAGGGCTTTGTAGGTCATAATCAACACCTTGAATTGGGCCCGGGCTTCAATGGGAAGCCAGTGAAGCTGATGGAGGACTGGAGTCATGTGAGCATAACGCCCCGTCCCCGTCAGCAACCTGGCAGCTCTATTTTGCACCAATTGAAGTGTTCGGACTGTCTTCAGGGGAAGCCCCACGTAAAGCGCGTTACAGAAGTCTAGGCGGGAAGTCACCAGCGCGTGTGTCACCGTCGCCAGGCAGTCGTATTCCAGGTAGGGGCGCAGCTGATTAATCAGCCGAAGCTGAAGGAAGGCGCTCCTCGCCACCGCTGTCACCTGAGCTTCCAAAGAAAGCTCCGGGTCGAGGAGTACACCTAAGCTGCGGACCTTATCCCTAAGAGGGAGTGTTGCACCATTCAGGACCAGGTCATATCCACCCTCTCCGAAACCCGATCCGCCAACCAACAGGACCTCCGTCTTGTCTGGGTTGAGTTTCAGTTTATTGGCCCTCATCCATTCCCTTACCTCGGCCAAGCACCGGTTCAGCACAGCCACTGCCTCACCTGGATTAGTGGAGAATGAGAGGTAAAGCTGGGTATCATCAGCGTATTGATGATTCCGCAGCCCACACCTCCTGATGACCTCTCCCAGCGGTTTCATATAGATGTTAAATAGCAGAGGGGATAGAATGGAGCCCTGTGGTACCCCATGGCATAGCTGCCATGACGTAGAGACATGGTCCCCCAGCACTACCTTCTGGAATCGACCGTCGAGATAGGAGCGGAACCACTGCAAAGCAGTGCCTCCAACCCCCAATCCCGCAAGTCTATCCAGAAGGATACCATGGTCGATGGTATCGAAAGCCGCCGAGAGGTCCAGAAGAACCAACAGGGATGTACTCCCCCTGTCCTTCTCCCTGCACAGGTCGTCGTACAGGGCGACCAAGGCAGATTCAGTACTGTACCCGGGTCTGAAGCCGGACTGAAAAGGATCCAGATAATCAGTTTCCTCCAAGAGTGCTTGGAGTTGTCCCGCCACCACTCGCTCCAGCACCTTGCCCAGAAACGGGATGTTGGCCACAGGTCTATAGTTAGTGGCCATCTCTGGATCCAGTGACGCTTTCTTCAGGACCGGTCGTATTACCGCCTCCTTTAAAGGGGCAGGCACTCGACCCTCCCTCAGAGAAGCGTTAACCACTTCCAAAATCCAGGTCCCAATCCCGTGCTTGGAGTTATTTATTAACCAAGACGGGCAAGGATCCAATAGGCACGTGGTGGGACGTACTCTTCCAAGCACCTTGTCCACATCATTGGGCCGCAATAATTGAAATTCCTCCAGTAATTTTGGACCAGACGGTGGCATTGGCGACTCCTCAGAGACCTCTGATTCATTAGTGGAGTCCAGCTCGTGACGAATCTGAGCGATTTTCTCCCTGAAATGCCTGGCAAAGTCGTCACAGCGGGCCTTTGAGGGTGGCATCGGATCTTCCTTAGGACCCAGGCGAACCAGGCCTTGCACCACTCGAAAAAGCTCCGCTGGACGGCATTGTGAGGAGGCAATGGAAGCAGAAAAAAACTTCTTTTTCGCCGCCTTCACCGCCACAGCATAGGCCCGATAGTGGGCTCTCAAGTGTGTTCGGTCAGATTCATCCCGTGATTTCCTCCACCTACGCTCTAGCCGTCTCCCAACTCGCTTCATCGCCCGTAATTCAGGTGTATACCAAGGGGAAGAGCGGACTCTGCCCGGTGGGAGAGGACGCTTAGGAGCGATTGTGTCCACAGCCCTGGTCATCTCTCCGTTCCACAGTTCGACCAGAGCCTCGACAGGAGCACCAGTCTTGTCAGCCGGAAATTCCCCCAGGGCCCCCAGGAATCCATCCGGATCCATCCGGCTCCGGGGGCGGGCCCATACAACCGGGTCCGCACTCTTATAGAGGGAGAGGCCGCTCTCGAGCACAAACCTCACCAGGAGGTGATCTGACCATGACAGGGGAGTCAAACATAAGTTCTTCACCCTCAGGTCATCCTCTACCTGCCCCGTCGTGAATACCAGGTCCAGAGTGTGTCCACGTTCATGGGTAGGGCCAGTGACGTGTTGAGACAGGCCCATGGCCGTCAAAGAGGCCATGAAGTCCTGAGCCGCCCCGGTCAGTCCAGACTCGGCATGGAGATTGAAATCCCCCAGGACCAACATCCTGGGGGTCCTCAACACCAGGTCCGAGACGGTCTCTGTCAGCTCAGATAGGGAGACTGCTGGGCAGAAAGGTGCACGGTACACCAATAGAATCCCCAATCTGTCTCGTTCGCCCAACACCAAGTAGAGGCACTCCAGCCCTGGTCTCAAAGGGACCGGAAGACCCGTGAGAGAGATGGAGGCTCTGTAAACCAACGCGACTCCCCCTCCCCTCCCTTCTGGGCGTGAACAGTGTTGAACCAGATACCCGGGCGGGCACAACTGGGAGAGGGCAACATCCCCTCCCTCTCCCGCCCAGGTCTCCGTTATGCAAGCCAGGTCGGCCCCCTCATCCACAATCAAGTCATGGATGAGGGAAGATTTATTATTGATCGACCTGGCATTGAGCAGCAGCACCGTCAGACCCGAGGGGTGGTTGACAAGGCTACCTGGCGCCCTCTGGTTGGGGGCAGGATCAGAAGGAGGGACAGGTGTCAGCCATCTGTCCATCCTTCTTCTACGTGGACACGTTAAGCCCCTATTGTTGTAACGACCATTGCCCGTGACCACGCCAATAGCAGCCCCCGTGGGTTCCCCAGGATATATAAACGTCGACATGGCCAGGAATGACTCAAAGCACTAATTAAAGCAGGGTAAGATTATAAAGTAGGTCGGAGGAGGAGAAAAAGAACGATAAAAAGAAAAAAAAAAGAAAAAAGGGGATCCTTCCTCTTCCCTGAGAATCAGCAGTAGGCAAGCCTATTTCAACAAGAGTCCATGGTCAGCCCAGCCCCCCTCTCGTCCCCCCGAACAGCACCCCAAACGGCGGCGACCCCTTTGGTCGCCGCCCTTCGGCCGCCGGCCCGAGTCCGCCGGCCCCGGCCGTTGCC